TGTAGGGGTTTAAGGGTTTAGGGGTTTGGGTTTAGGGTTTAGGGGCTTAGGGGTTTAGGGTTTAGGGGTTTAGGGGTTTAGGGTTTAGCGGGGTTTAGGGGTTTCGAGTTTAGGGGTTTAGGGTTTAGGGGTTTGGGGGTTTAGCAAGTTTAGGGTTTAGGGTTTAGGATGGTTTAGGGGTTTAGGGGTTTGGGGTTTAGGGTTTAGGGGCCCCCGATTTTGCAGAGTTTTGCAGTCAGTAGCTTAACCGAAGTTGCCCGACTCTCTATAAGGGAATCACTGAGAATGTAGGCTGCTAGGGTCCAGATGGGGTTTGGGGCGGCGTTAGGATGTGATTTGGGGTCATCTGGGCTGCAGCTATGTGAGGACGCGATTTCGGAAGGAAGGGTTTAGGGTTTAAGTTTAGGGTTGAGGTTTCCGGGCCGTCAGAGCTGCGAGGGATTTTCGGATCCTCCTGGGTGCGCGGAGTGACCCCAGTCATTCGAGCGAGGCGCCAAGCCAAGCGCGATGAAATCCTCAGAGTTTGAGCCTTGGAGGTTCTCACTTCACAGACACCCTGAAGCCTAAACTCCCTAAACCCTAAACAGAGCCACGATTTATAAACCCATTTAGACCCAAACCCTAAGCCCTCAGCACTTTAAACACTAGCCGGCCTCAACCACCTGCCCGAGAGCCCGCTTGCCAAATCCAGGGCTCCTCCAGCACCTCAGAAGCAGGGGCCCCTGCGTTGCTTTTTTTGTTTGTGTTTTGAGACGTTTTTGGGGTTGGGGCTTCGAGTTTTGAGTTTTGGGGGTCTCTGGGGGTTCAGCAGTTTCGGATCGATAGGGTTTCAGGCAGCCTGCGGCCTGGGGGTTCCCAGATGCTGTAATCAGATGTTTCAGGGTTTGGTGCCGAAGACCTTCCTAGCATCCAGATGATCCTATACAAAGCTACATGATCCCATATATTTATATTCCTGTATGCTCCGTTAAAGGCCTATATAAGTGGTTTTGGGACTCTGTGTCAGGCATTACTGAGCCGTATGGCTTTGGGTTAATCAAATGCTTTACTTCACGCTTGTAGGGCTGGGGTTTTGGGTGTGGGCTTGGGGCTTAGGGTTTGGTTGTTTAGGTTGTCCGACGATTGAATCTCTGGCAGTCTAAAGATGTTCAGCCTGCACCTGGGATTCTGTTGCTGTTGTTCTTATTGTTGACCTCGTTGGCTCGTTGTGCTTGCTCACTGTCTGCAGAGTAGTAACAGCAGCAGGAGTAGTAAGAGTGATAGTGGTGGTAGTAGTAGTCGTCGTCGTCGTCGTCGTGGTGGTAGCGGTACTGGTACTGGTGATGGCAGTGGCAGTGGCAGTGCTGCTGTATCGTTCTACAGCTTTCTGGGTTGGGGATGTCGGCTTGGATGTGCTGAGACACATGTTTTTCTATACCCCGCCCGGAACCTACGGCAATTGACTAGTGGGGTTCCCAGGTTGAGTCGATTTCAGGTTCAGGTCCGGTTTAGGTGGCTCGGCATTGGCTGCTTCAGGGTTTGGTTTGGAGGTGTCGCGATCATTCAAGACCTCGCTGTGCTCTGCATCAGTGTCTCCATGTGGTTTGTTTTGATCCTGTGGATCGTAGTCAGGCATGAACAGCACAGCACATCCTAACGTTCCGGAATGTTCTCCTTCTTTACAGCAATTCACGAGGTGCAGGTGCGCGTGTGCAAATCCGTCCACACATTGGATGAGGGACCTCGCAAGCCCTTCCGGGGGATTCCCTGCAAAAGCCCTGACCTGCACACGCCATTTGTGCAGTCTCTTCATCGCAGGTTTCTGGTGGCGAGGTTTCGAGCACGGTGGGATGCCCCAGTGATGCTTGCGCTGCCTAGCCTTTCAAAGGCACAATCTTACTTCATCTGTCTACGATTACTCACATGTTCCAATCTTACCCCCTATGCCGCACATGCATCTCCTCAACTCGAGACGGTGGGTTCTGACGCTTGCTTCGGGCTAGCTTCTTTTTTGTGAGATTCATCACTCCTGTTTGGCGGGTATCCTCAAGCAGGCCTGATCAGAAATTAAGCCCTAAGTCGAGGAGGGATTCCTTTTCACGAAGAAAAATAGCAAGGAAACCCTAAACCCTAAACCCAAGGAGAGTACCTCGGGGAGCCTTTAGAATTCGCTCAGGATACAATCGGAAGTCATCTTCGTCTCTTCCTCTGTCTCCATGGCTTTCAGTCCTTCCCTTTTAGGGTTTAGGGTTCTTGTAGTAGCTTATAGTAGCACTATGGTGGTTGCGACGCCAACCATGAAGCAAGGCACATTATGCATGCACACACACACAAAAAAAAACAAAGCGCAAAGCGTCATAGTTTAAGTGCATACGCGGGCCCCGAGCAACCCGATTCCTTCCAACACGAGGCTTCCACGCGCGCATCGATCAACGATCTCCTGGAGCGCTGTGAAGGCATCGCAGCCCACGAGGACGACGGCCACTCGAAGTTTCGCCCTGGGCGGGAAGCCTTCCATAGTCAAACTCGGATTATCTACAGCCGTAGTTGCAAAAGTCAAAACAACGTAAGTGAGTGGCGCCAATGAATCATCACCAGCAGCAACACCAATATCCTCATGATGCCATCTTCTTACCATCAGCACCAAAAAATCATCATCCGTTCATGATTGTCCGAACGCGAGCCGCGAATCTTAAACGAAGCAGCGTCTCTTCCTTGAATCGCCTTCCCAGAGACTCCAATATTCCTTAATTAAGGAATATATATAAATTAAATCTTATTAGGGTTCCGATTATTTGGGTTCCTATTTTTTTAAGGTATATTCCTTAAAAAAGGGAAAGGTATATTCCTTAAAAAAGGGAAAGGTATATTCCTTAAAAAAGGGAAAGGTATATTCCTTAAAAAAAGGGAAAGGTATATTCCTTAAAAAAGGGAAAGGTATATTCCTTAAAAAAGGCATAATGGAGTCTCTGGGTTTTTTGGCGGGGGATCCTGGAGGCAAGCCTGAAAACGCAAACTGCCCAAAGCCGAGCCCGGAACCCTCAAACCTTCGCCTTCGCCCGACTCACGGAAGCGTAATTTCTACACCGTAAGGCTTAGGCTTAGGGTTTTGGGTTTTGGGTTTTGGGTTTAGGGTTTTGGGTTTTGGGTTTAGGGTTTAGGGTTTAGGGGGCCTGCGTCCGAAAGCCCAACTCACAGTCCCGAAGTCCTTTCACTCCACTGCGGGCACCATGGCCCCCGTGTGTGAGGCTCACAGGGCGCGAGCCTTCTGCGAAGCTTCAACAAGAAGCACGATAGTTGTGCAATGGCTCGATCGGCTTCCTAAACCCTAAACCCGAAGCCCCGAACCCTATATAAACCCTAGACCCTAAACCATAAACCCTGAACCCTAAGCCTAAACCCTGAACCGACATCATTTCGAGTACGACCAAAAAGAAACCCGAATCCTTAAATCTCAGACACAGACTTGAAACCCTTTGACCCTAAACCCTAAAGCC